CAGGCTGGAGTGCAATGGCGCGATCTCGGCTCACCGCAACCTCCGCCTCCTGGGTTCAGGCAATTCTCCTGCCCCAGCCTCCTGAGTAGCTGGGATTACAGGCACGTGCCACCATGCCCAGCTAATTTTTGTAGTTTTAGTAGAGACGGGGTTTCACCATGTTGACCAGGATGGTCTCGATCTCTTGACCTTGTGATCCACCCGCCTCGGCCTCCCAAAGTGCTGGTATTACAGGTGTGAGCCACCGCGCCCGGCCTTGTCGGATATTTTTCTTTGACTCTGCTCATCTCCCACCTCCCCCGGGAGTTGCTCACTCTCAGCAGTGGATTCTTGTTTCCCATGCAGTGGTGGTGGGGGGGAGGGGTTTGCCGGTGGCGGGGAGGGGTTTGCCCCAGCCAGCACTGGCATTGAGGCAGGTGTCTGAGCCAGCTCCCAGGAGGAAGGCAGGGTGGGTGCCTCTTCTGGTTTGGGGACCAGAAGCTGCCAGATTCTCCTGGGAGTTGGGGTGACTGGTCGAAGCCAGGGTTCAAGAGCTGGTGGGATGAGACCTCAGATTCCAGCTCTGAGCATTAGCTGAGTGGTCTTGGACAAGCCAGGTAACCTTCTCCTTGGTATGCCCACTTATAGAATGGGGACATAGCACTGCCTACCTCATAGAGGGTTATTATGAGGAACAGTGAGACAGTGCATGTGGAACATTTAGGTCACAGTGCCCAGCACATAATAGGTGCCCAATAAACTGTGGCTGGTGTAATTAGCACCAGCCAAGGGGGCAGCTGTTCTGCCTTCTCCAAGGAAATGCTTCTGATGCTTGCACCCTTAGCCAGTAAGCCCAGGAGAGTGGGAGGCTTCGTGGGAGGAGGGCTGTGAAGCCCAAGGCAGGGCTGGAGGGAGGCAGGAGAGGGGATCAGAAAATGTGGCTCTAAGACCTCTTAGGGCCACTACTGGGCTGGCAACTTCCCTGCCTCGTTGGCCTAGCTTTTCCTCAATCACAGACAAAGCTTGTGACCAGACTGGGCAGTGTCTGAACCAGGCGCCGTCACTGCTCTGGCCCCCGTGACAGTTGGCCCTAGCTGTGTGCCTGCCTTAGGCCTGCTCCCTCAGGTTCAGGGGCCAGGAGAGAGTGACAGTCATGATTCCCAAAGGCTGTGACTTTTTAGCCTACACCCCTACCCCTTTGGAAACATGGTTTGTGGGGCGGGGTGAGGGGGGTCCCAGGGAACCTGATTGTATTTCACATTCTTTTCTGGGAGGAGGGAGGCAAAGTGACCAGCACACTTTGTCCAGTGGCTTCGCCAGTGGGTTATTCATTCTCATTCCAAGTTGATCAGGTAGTAAGATTCATCTGTTATTTTATCAATTCATTCAGTCACTCATCCATCATCCATTCATCCACCCACCCATCCACCCATCCATTTATTTACCACCCACATCTACCTATCTATCCACAAAACCAATAATTCACCAAACACCTATTATCAACCCATATCCATATCCATCCATCCATTCTTCCTACCCACTATTCATCCATGCACCATCCATCCATGCTTCCCACCATTCACCATCCATCCATCCATCATCCAATCCATCCATCCTTCCATCCATGCATCTGTATATTTACCTGCTCACCCACATCTACCCATCTACCCACAAAATCAACCAAGTAACCATTGACCATCAACCATATGTATATGCATCCGTCCATCTGTTCTTGTTCTTCCTATCCACTATTCATCCATGCATTATCTGTCCATGCATCCCACCATTCATCCATCCATCCATCCACCATCCATTCATCTGTCCATTCACCATCCATCCACCTGTCCATCCATCCACCATT